ATTGTTGGATAATTATTTAATGTATAACTATTCTGTAGATTTAATATATATATATAGAATATTTGAAAATTGTTTTATAAAGGGTTAATCATGAAATTCAATGAAAGATCAGTGATTGTATTATATTTAAAAAAAACAAAATATATATATATATATAAACAAAATAAAAAAAAAATTCAGGCACCAGCAAAACCAACGAAGCCGCTAACTTCGTCACGCACATTGGATTCGCTTGCTGAATTGCAATCAACGAAAATCAACACTCCGAGTATGAGTAGCAGTGGTTACGGTTCTCAAGCAGTTTCAACGACCAATTTAACATCCGAAGATTCGATTTCTATCAAATCTATCAGCGTAGATGAAACACCCGATTTAGAATATCGAAATTTGTTGGATAATAAAAAAGCAGAAAAGATGGACAGTTCATTAGTTGAAGAAACACCCGAGGAATATACCTGCGACGTCAACACTGCTATGGAACATTTGAATGTTACGGAAGATTCTCGTGAGGGTTAGTTAGTTTGGTTCTCTTTAATTTACAACGGACAGGATATAAATTTTTAATTCCTTTTTTTTTTTTTTTTTTTTTCAACAACAATAACTATGTATTCAAAAATTTTTCATAAATTGTTCTTGCCATTATCAATAATCATCATCATCATCATCGTCATCGTCATTGTCATCATTTGCGTCAGAGTTTTACAATACTGTTCAACATACATTCGAATGCTTTAAAAGTTTGATTTGTTGTTGGGTATATATGATTGGGGGTGTTTGATCCTATCAGATATAATTTTGAAGATATAGTAATCAAATTTAGAAGAATATTGATGTTTTTACTATTGTGTGCGTATCAAAATTAAAGCTGATAGGGTGAAACTGATGCTGTTTTTTTTTTTTTTTTCTTTAAGATAAATTCACCAAAATATATACTAAGAACGAGTTTAACTTTTAAAAAATATCATTAGGATATTAACGTTGTTTTATTGGGTCGTGTAATTAATTTAATATAGTAATTATTATTCGATTGTTTTGTTTTTTTTGTTTGTTGTTATTTTTTTTGTGTCTTGTACAGTAAACATTAGGAAAAATCTGGAAGAAATGGGTGCTTACACGGATCCCGATACCGAGAGTCCTGTTTCATCGACGAAAGACGATAGCGATGCTACCGGTAATTTAACAACACTTAACTTAACGCAGAAAAAGGATACCCAGAATCCAATTTTAACTGGTAGAAGAAAAAGCGAAATGGTAATTAGTCAAACATCGAATTCGGGCGACGAGAGTCCTTTGGAAGGATCCTCGATTGTTCATACGAAACTACCACCAGGCAAGGTAAATCAAATTATATTAATTTTTGTTTCGTGAATGTGAACAAAAAAAAAAAAAAGAAAGTAATGTTAAGAATTTAAAGAAGGAGATTTATAAAAAAAAAAAAATCATGTATCATTTTGTACATTATTTATTATTGTTTTAGGTTGTACGAAGAAGGAAAGCTTCTAGTGGTACAGGAAGGCCTACCAGTTCTCAACACAGAGCTTCGTTTCCTATGGTCCGTCCACAAGTTTCTGAAAGTAAAGCTGCAGCACGATTAGAACAAACGATGCAGCCTAATATGCCATACGAAAATGGTGACAATAGCTCCTCCGAAAGAATCGATGGTATTTGTTTTTTTCATTTAACGTTAATCCCATTTCATCGTTTTCATATTTAATCTGTTAGAATTTATTAATAAATAGGAGGATTTAAAAAAAAAATGCTAGGTAATTCAGTAATATAATCAATTAAGTTTCAAATTTCTTGTATCAAATATTAAACTATTGTTTATTGAAATATTTAACGATTAGGTAGTAATATTCGTACAAATATAATTGTTAGATTTAGGTTTGTTACATTATTAATTAAAGCTTAAATATATTGAATGCATATTTATATGATATCATTGTTGTTATTCATTGTTAATTATAGATGACACGAGCGATAAAAGTTCAGCCTTTGGCTCGAGACACGATTTGACAAGAATCGAAACTCCGTTACCAGATTGGGTGATAGTTGGTGAATCTGTATTAGTTCGTCCATACAGTTATTCAGGTGTTATAGCATATGTTGGTCTAACAGAGTTTGCATCTGGTATATGGATTGGGATTGAACTTGATGCACCAACTGGTATATATATCATATTTAAAATAATTTATATAATATATCTCTGGTGAATGGTCAAACAAACAAAAAAATGTTAAAAATTTTTAAGTACGAATTAAAGAATTTTACTAATACTTTTGTTTACCCACACACCAAAGAGAGAAAGAAAGATAGAGTTAATTAATTTTTTGCTAACCATTGATCTTTTTATTAAGTTCATTATAATGATTATTATTGAAAATTAATTGATAGGTAAAAACGACGGTGCTGTAAATGGTCATAGGTACTTCAATTGTCGACCAAAGTGTGGAATCTTTGTTAAAGTCGATAAATTGATTCAAGACAGACGAGGAAGAGCACTTAGAAGTTATAGTAAACAGGAACCTGCACCACCACCACCACCTCCATCGGCACCAATACGCAGAAGCGTAAGCAGAGGTATTGTTCACGTATAAGTATATTACACATTTCTTTTCTTTTCTTTTTTCTTTTTTATATTTATATTTAATCGTATTATTATGCATAAATATTCTTAATTATAAGAATTATATTTTGAAAACGTTAAATTCGATTTGAAAATTGGCAAATAATATTTAAAGTAAAGTTTAAATTAATTTGACTTGTAAACCTCTCTTGCATCAGGACACCAACCCTCTATATATACATTATTTTATTGAATTGAAATTAAATATATATTTATATAAATATAAAAAATATTTGTTTGTTCTTCAAAGGCGAAGGTTTACATTACTTGCACCGAAGTCGGAGCCGAGGAGAAGGTCTTTCAACGACGGGAACGCGTTATTCTCCCCGAAGCAAGTAATAAAAATCAAATCAATTTAATAACGCGACTACTTCTCATCATAAAATAAAATAAAATAAAATAAAATAATAATATTAATAATAATAATAATGAAAAAAATGCAAAAGGAAAAGAAAAGGAAAAACAAAAAAACCGTTCGTCGTTATAAAATAATAATAGTTAATAATAAGAAATCACAAGTAAGGAAGAAAAAGAAAACGTAATGAGGTATAAACAAAAAGGTAAAAAACAAAAAGAAACAAAAAAAATAAAAAAGTAATGTTATCCTAATTATTGCTACATGCCTATGATATGTGTAGCAAAAGCAAAGCAAAGCAAAGCAGCAGCAGCAGCAGCAGCAAAAGCAACAGTGTTTCAGTCCCTTTAGACAAAAATTATTAGGGCAGCTAATAATAATTGATGATTAATTATTTATCGCATGTGCCGCGATGATGATTAATATTAAATGAAAGGAAAGAAAAGAAATAGCAACTGGGAGAAAAAAAGAAGAAGAAGAAGAAATAATAATAATAATAATAATAATAATAATAATAATAATATTTACTTAAAATATTAGGTAATAATAGTAATAATACTATTATATTAATTAAATAATTAATTAATTAATGTGTATCACACAAAGCATACATGGGGTGATGTGTTTAACTATTCTAACGGCAAATTAATGACGCGTTGTGGATGATTAAGAAAAAAAAAAAAAAAGATAATTAAAAAGGAGAGAGAAAAAACGAAGAAAAAAAGAAAAAATCTGTGAAGAATGGAAGAAGGGAAGTAAAAAAATGGAAAAGAAAAATACAAGCAAGCGAGGAAGTATTTTAGAAAATAATCCAATTCGCATTTCTGTAGAATACAATAAAACCTCCTATAACGCGATTTATTCGTACCGCGTTATAAAAAAACCATGGTATAAGAAACTCAGAATTAATAAAAATCAGATTGATATTCGTATTGCACTATTGTGTAATGTAAAAAAAAAAAAAAACAAAGCACTGTAAACTGAAATTGGTGAAAATGTTGGATGTACCTTTACCAAACAGAAAATAATTACCCGTTAATTTCAATTGTACAAAATTTAAAACACAGATAAATTAATCCTATAGAGAATTTTTTTAAACCAATTTAGATTTGATGGAATGTTGTTTGAACGAGAATCCGCGTTATACGAGGATTGTTTTGCAATTTTGGCTTTGCGTTATATGGAAACCGTGTTAAGAGAATAGCGCGTTATATAGGAGGTTTTATTGTAATTAATTAATTCATTATTAGGTACATAATTAACGTCATTATGTATCACAAACAAGACAAAAACAAGACAAACAACAACAACAACAAACAAACAAACATACAAAAGAAAAAAAAAATACGTCAATGAAAGACATATTGAAATGAGTTGTATAAGCATTCCACAATTTTTACGTACTATGTATGATCGGAATGATGATATAAGCTATTTTTATTTTTTATATATTATATATATATATATATATATACATACATACATAGATACATACATATAAACATGTACGTATGTATGTATAAGTGGGAGCATATTATTGCTTTTCTTTTTTATTTTTTTTTTTTGTTTTTTATTATTATTATTTCTTATTTAATTGTACATTATTTTGTTCTGTTTTATTTTATTACGATTATATCTTTTTCTTTCACATTATTTCTATTTAGTTTAATCGTACACTTATTATTATTCGAATTACATATATATATACATATATACATATATGTATATCATTATTAATGACATATTAACGAACCACTGCTATATAACACTTTCCAAAATTACTTATCATAGTAATTTTATTTAAATGGAAAAGTGTTCGCGAGGATCGGTGGTTTGTGTGAACGAAATAAAAATGCCTCACCCGACCCTTTCCTCCCTCTAAAAAAAAAACACACACACACACAAATACTGATTAAAATTAATTAATTAATTATTATTATTATTAATAATAATATAATATTAAGTTGTGTAGATTATTTAAAGATTTTATATGTATACAATTGTTTCATATATATATGTATTGTATTATTAATTGTTTAATCGTTTTATTTTAATTTCTTTTATTTTTAATTTCTTATTTTCTTTT